CAAGCCGGTTATTCAAAAAAACTGTCGCAGTTTTTTGAAACATGTAGAAACATACGTTCTTGTCTTGCGCATAGGCTGCAAAATGCAATAATAATATATTGTGATGCTCACGAAAGCACATAACATAATTTACCAAAATTGTAATGTTTAACATATTTCATGTGATTTTGGAAACTGTTATATTTTTTATTTCCTGCCAATTGTTTAATTTGTAATGTTGTTCTTTGTTCTTTTTTCAATAAAGTAAGCAAACAGACTTTCGGGTTTTTTCACTTTCCGCGTGAACCTCAAGTGTTTCAGCTTATTTTAAGGGAGTTCCGTCTCCTCGAGGACTTCACTGAGGGAGACTCAGGTATTTATTATGGTATAAGTATGAAATACACCTGACTCGTTTTACGCGGATGAAAACCGAGTAAATAGAATTTGTCGGTGCCAGAGAAAACAAAATATTGCAAGAAAAAGCTGGTATAAGTTTTAGAAATACATATTTATTTTATATAACTTAACAAACTAATAATAATATTGACATTTTAGAAAACAAAAGTACTATCTATTCGGTGTTACTAAATTTAGATCGCATAAATCGGTCAGGTGTACATAGATTTGTAAAACGTTTAAGCACATAGCATGTCTATATTTCATAAATACTCGTTACAATAAATATGCTTTAATTTTTCAGTGCTTAATCGGAGTCTGAGTTATGACGGTACTGCTGTTTCGGTAGTTGCTCCTGTAATTCGAGAACGTGTTCGATTGGCTTTGGTTTTCCATCCTCCCCAATTCCACAGGGCATCACGACTCCTTGCCTAAAACAATATCATAGTTAAATGCTGAAACATGAATACTGTCAAGTTGAAGATAATTATGATAATTCCAACCTTGTTAATTTGTCAACAAGACCTACAAGTTGCAAGGCTTCATACTCCTTTTGTTCCTCTGACATTCCTTCTAGAGGATTAGGCTTTGGATGTTCAAAGCAACCAGTTACCGGATTAATTCTTGAATGAAAGGAACACATTATTAAAAGGAAAGCTAATAAATTAAGAAGATATTACTTTTATCCTTTATACTAACTGTTCCTTATGCTTCAGGTACTCCTCAGTTTCGCTGTCCTCTGATTCCGAAGAATAATCTGCCTCCTTCCTATTTGGACCTAATAATCCCTTGTTCGCAAACATGCCTGCTGCGTTTCCATATCCTGTGTACTTTACCATGCGACTAACTGGAAGTAACATTTTTTTCATGTATATATGATATTCATCTATCTCTTCATTTAATTTCATTAAATTCGTTAGACGCACCATTTTCTTTACAGAGCACAAATAGAAATTCAGCAACCAGGTCTCGTAATTCTGTCAGTGGAATAGTTAACAGTTTACACAGCTTTGCTCTTAGAGTCGTTCCTTCTTCTGGACGATGCATTACATCTTTCAAAGGAGGTAAAATCTAAAAAATAAACAAACTTGTAGACATTGAAGAAAAAAGAAAATGATTTCTTGTACCTGTAGCCTAGTATACTTTCGTATTAATCTTTCAGTTTTAACCATTCTAATAAGAACAGTAACAATCGGACTAAGATTTCCTATCAAGTCATCCTTGCAATTTAACCTTTTATCAAGAAATTTTAATAGAATGGATACAGCTGTCATATCCACGTCTTGGAATACTTGTTTCGTTTTAGGACATTGCTTCTTTTTGTACTGTACAGAAGGTATGATTGCAGAGTAACTGCTATATGGCATAACTGTCAGTAAATTAACTATATTGCTATAACAAAAATTAATATAGAATAAGAATAATGTAATATCGTTGATTCAATTAGGATTACATAAGAATTGAACTATACAAAATCTACCTTTGCAGATCGTCTTCTTTCTCGCACTTAAATAACAGTAATTTATACAGGTTTGACATTAAATTCTTATCTTTTTCTTGTTTATCATCTGTTGAATCATCAACACACATGTATAAGTTAAATAATGTTTTTAATACTTCGCATGCTAACATTGCAGTATCCGTCTAAAAGTAAAAATTTAGTGTTAACGTTTCATTACTTTTATTTGCTGTTTAATTATGAGTGTACCTTAATTAGATCAGTTTTCTTTTCTTCACATTGAATATTTATCTCTTCCAACATTTTAATGAGACATTCGTCTCCTTTTAAGCCTACTTTGACTACTTTTCGTGTGGGACTATTTATTGCAGTGATTAAAAATAAAATTCTTGTGTCAAATAACATTACATCGTAAGAAGTAGTTTTGTTATATCGTCTCATTCGTTCAACGAGAGAAGGTAAACAAGATGTTTTCGGTATTAGATATTGTACATTTGTGCTATTAAATATAAGGTTGCATAGTAACTTTAACGCTTCAGTGGTAACTGTGGAAAAAAACGAAAGAATTAAAAAAGAAAAGATTCTTGTTTGTTGCACTGTTTTATATGCAAAATACTTACCACCAGTGAAAGTCTGTTTCTCCGAATCAGCATCTTTTAAAGCTGCTTTATCTAATATTAGATTTATTCTTTCGATTGTCACTAATTCATTTAAATTTGTCTTATCGCGGCTATGTCAATGGAGAAAAATAACAGAATTACTTTACGATATTTGCTAAAGCTATCGGTACATGTAAAAAAAGCTTTAACAGTTTGCTAGAAATAAAAATTTATTTGATACAAAAGAATAAGATCAGCGCAAGAAACTTATAAACATTGTATATAATTATTTTGTGCTGTAACAATACCTAAGAATCCGTAAGGTGGACAGACATTGTTCATGAATGAGAGATTTTGAATTATCAGATATCTGAAGAAACAGAGCTTGCCATAGCTTTTCCCGTAATTGATCCTTGTTTAATTCTTCGAACGTAGTCTTGGTTCCATACTAAAAAACAATACATGCATGTACCATTGTAATTGTATACATAACAATTAGTTCAACTACATTTGAAAAACTGAAGACTCACGTTTTCCTGAAAAGTAGCTATGTCTTTTGGGAACTCCTCAGTCGAATCAGAGATTATTTTCTGTACCAACGAATCCATATTGATATGAGCATGCTATATTTCTCAAAATTAAAAACAAATACAATCCCTCGATGGATTGACAGATCGTGAACGTCTGCACGACGTTTTATTGCACGAATTCGAGCAACTGGTATTCGATATGAAGGTTCCTAGTTCTACCGCTAGGTGACTGCACCGTGTTCTTAAAAATTATAGTGACTATGTAGCAATACATTTGAATTCGACGGGAATTGTTAATTTTACTTTGCTCGTAAAATGTGTAACCTTTAAAGTGAACTTCACAGGCCAATTAAAATGTAAAGGATCTTCATCTTGATTTCTATAGAGTAAGTTTTCATGTGTTATCGTTTAACAATGAAAATAACTTGTACTAAAATTCTAACAAGCCACTACGTTTAAATGGTAACGGTTTAAAATCTTATAAATGGTAACGTTCAGTACCTACATCTTGATTGCAAGACAAAAGTTGTTTTTGAATTCATAGAAATTGCTCAGAGTTTGTCTGCAAGGAAAATGCCTGTTTCTACTTTTTAATTATTTCCCATTATATCCTCACACATTTCCCACGATTCATGCATGTAATGATCCTTTCAGGTGTCGAGCCGAACCCTTATTAACCACAACGTTACCGCTCTGCAACATTTCATCGTGGTTTGACCCTGTAACACACATAAGGCGTTCCTAAGGGACGAAAGAACCACAAAAAGGGCGTGGGACTCGCAATCGACGAGAAACAGGTTTCCTATTTGCGTGACTCCAATAATCCTGGAAAAGCGTTCAATGAAAACTGTGAACATTTTGAATGTCATATATAGAGAGAAAAATTCGCGGGAAGCAATAACCAAAAAATGTTGCACTTAACGTAAGTTTCTAATTTAATACATTTTCTACATTTATTAACGCAACAAATACACGACACATTCTAATAATCCAATAATCAGAAATTGTACATACAATTTTTCTATTATAAACAAATATCTATAATTTTAACTTTACTAAATAGCAAATAATAACGTATATACCTATATCTAAGGAATAAAATGGAATATTTAATAAAAATACTAAGATCTATTAATATGTAAGTACGTTAATTTTATTATTTATGCAAAACTGACTGTTCCCTTCTACTTTCTTCATTATTATTATAATTATTTATACTTTGTAATGACTATAGAGCTGGTCCAATCAAAATTTTTTTTTGCCAGAGGTAGTGTTTAGGCAGCAGTCAGCTCCCGTGGTCGATGCTCCGACGACAATCTGGTTCAACGACTTTCTTCCAGGCATTTCTTCGACCTTCCAGCGCGGATTACATCACGTCCCTGTAATCGTTCGGGCTTCGGCCCGAAGTTTCTTCTCTGTTTCTTTTTTTGCCCGGAGGAGAAATTACGATGCTCGAATCGGAAGAAACGTCGGCGTTGGGGAAACCGTGCAATGGCGTAGAATCTATTAATTGCTACACGATTACAGATATTGCTATTTCTTCAAACTTTCTCTTCTCCGCCAGTTCGACGGAAAGTCTAATTTTAGGGATCCACCTACACAATTGCTTTAACACTAGAACTACCGAGCATTTAATACGATTAATGTGTAATCCCTATAAAAATTGTAACAATAGATTATTTCCAATTTCTTCAAACATTTATTATAGTACTTAAGTGAAACTATTTATTTCCAATTCAATTCAATCCTTTTAGGATATCAATAATTGCGAAATAAACAAATCGAAACCAGTCGGTTTGACTGGTACGGTAGTTCTAGTGTTAATTCTTTTCTTAACATTTTCGCTACCGGCGTCACATATTTATAATGATCAACATTTCATATACTGTCGCGAAGAATAGAAAATTACACGTGTTTATATCTATTATTACAACGCATGGCGCGATATGCTAGAAGTCGAGGAAATCTTTCATTTATGAAAGATACATTTTATTTAATAAAATATTGTAGGTATATATCAAGGTACAATCTTCAATTAAATTCTTCCTATAATACGTATTCACTAAACCAAGAATATATTTAGTATCTTAATGAATTCTTTATGTTATCTCTATTTTAGAACATAATTAGATAAATCTCCGTCGCACCTTCTTGGGAGGAGTACATTGGCGTAGAGCATCAAGCCGCAATTCCCAAAGTTTCATCGGGAAATTGCGCAAGTTTGTACCCCGAGGTGATCACACGGAGCTCTCTGTTCAAGTTATCGTCGAGCCAACGATCCCGCGTTTAAACAAAACGCCTGTTACCCCCGTGCATCTCTGCTCCAGCCTATCTGTACTATTCTTATCGTCTACTTTCGCACAGTCTCCTCCGATATTACAAAGGACTCTCGCCTCTTTCTCCGTTAGGGCAGTGACTATTTCTGTCCGTCGCTCGCAGGGGAGGAATCGTTCCGTGCAGTAGCAGAACCAAGGGGGACAGAATAAGAGAGGAAAACGGCTGGCCGATCTGCGTCGGATGTGCACATTAGGCGTGGCCGAGAAAAGAGCAACGATACAACAGGTGCCTCACAGGAAATACGCTGCCATTGTCGGGCTCCAAGGACACGACGCTATAAAAACTCCTTCTGTCCCGTTCCGAGCGGGCATAAAAAGGACGCCGGTAGAATAGAAGAAAGATGACCTTGGAGGGTAGGGTTGTCCAAGCAGGCGGGAATGGCGCGCGCATAGATGCGTAAATTATGCGCCACTTTCTAGTCTGACCTGGCGTAGAAGTCGTCGCCCCTCTTTCTACGCCGTTGGAGAGCCCCTACGATATACATTAGCTTGTTGCACACGAGGCGGCCGACTTCCATGTGTTTGTACAGAAAAATGCAGCGCGGCGGGGTTCACCGCGAAGTCGGTTCTATCCGGGAAATGCTTAGGAACGACTCGTTAGGAAAGTTCGCCGGAAGTTTATGAACTAATGTCGGAAACGTTAGTTTACAATTTTAGGAGTTAGAAAATTCGTAAGAGTGCATGAGGATAATGCCAATTATCTTCTTTGCTCAGTTCATTTGTCTATTCGTTTAAATTGACAGTGTTAGTACGCTGCAGCTGTTGCATTATCCACGTCGATGGTTTAATGGAAAGCTGCGGTGTGCTGAATTATAGTGTATTCTTTCTAAGCAGATTGTTCATAACATCGAGTAGATTGTAGAGTGTCGATGAAAGCTTGATAATCTTTAGTATGCACTTTTAAGAATCAATAAATCTGTAAAAGTGTATTGGAACATTGCCAATCAGTTTTCTTCGTTCTATTTATTTATTCTTTTAAATTAACGATTTCGCTTTTGGCACGCTATAGTTAAGTTGTTGTATTATTCACGTTGATGTTTCAACGGGAAACTACAGCGTGCTAAAATGATCGTCCAAGCAGATTGTATACAGAATCAAATAGAAAATTGTAAGACGTCGTTGTTTGAATGATTCGCGGTGGTGAATGAGTGGAAAGCGACACGGTGAAGCACACGTGGCTGCAGAAGTTGCCGGGAAGTAACATCTGAATATTATTTCAGCGGCTGGTTGGTGAAACCCAGGCCCTGGAGTCACAGTTTTTTCCCAAAATCGTACGAAAGGCAAGCAGAGCGAAGGGGAGGAGGGAGAGGTGAAGAGGGAGTGCATGTGTGGGGACGCAACGTGTGCGTGTCCGCGCAGCAGGGCCTGGTGGATGCACTTTTGGGAAATCATGCATATATGTGGCAACATCGCACTGCGGGCTCACATTCCACGTGACCAGGACCGGTTTGCGGGTGTCGACCCACTGACACTAGCCTACCACAGACAGACCTTAGCCCTACACACAAGGGTACCATCTATCCGATACACCTTACTTATTCTTTTTTTCTTATTGCAAGGAAAACGTTGCAGTCGATTCCTTTGCTCCCTAGAATAACAGTTGAGACGCTAGTTGACCGTCTTGTTAGGCCTAGATTGTCTTACCATGATTTACAAAGCAATTGTGAAACAATGTCAACACTGGAACTACTGAGAATTGGCAAATTGTTTTGTATTTGCACCTTTTGCTATAATAGCGGATTAACGGATTAAGATCCCAGGAGGATTACCTTGAGCGGCTTAAACAGTGACATTGAAAAATACTGAGCTGCATTTTGTTAGATATTAGTATGTTAATGATCAACCGTTGTACTGTAAATGGCCTGCCACTTGATAGTTTATCCCTAGAAATATTCAATGTTTCCTAAGGGGACGTAGACATTTTCTGAAACTTAGCTTTTGCTGCCTTTTTAAGCACACGTAACTTAAGGAACAAAGCTTAACGCGTCGACTGCCGCGAAAAAACTTCCGCGTTTTATCAATTACACTCTTATAGCAAAGGTAAAGGAACAATTATTTAATTATCACAGTTATTACGTTATCGCGTAGCTACTTGCTGAACAGTTTTATTGAACATCAATTATCTTATGAGTTACAACTGTCTTTAAGCTTAGCAGTCAACGTTAATATTAACTCTCAAACTTTATGATTTTACCAGATAGACTCAAGTACCTAAAAGTCAGCTCCCGAGTGCAAAGGGTTACACGTCAGCTTTCTACCGATCATAATCGAGGATACTGTTAGCGACCTATTGGCGGCTTTGATCCAGCGATGCGTGGAATCAAGAGGGAGATTGTCCGATTTTTATTAACACCTTGTACTGGTCGCGTTACGTGAAAAGGAGGGGGGCCTGGCTCGGTGGTGCATTGCAAGGCCATTGACCGAAGGGACCCCGATCGATGATCAGCTACCTGCTGATACATTGTTCGCCTTACAATGGCGAAAGTATTCCCGGTCTGGTGGGAACCTTTGGGCGTCAAGTGCAATTATTCTGTGTAACCGAATGCACTTGGTCGTTCTGCCGTTTAAGAACAGCCTTCGCCTCGCGCTGCGGAACGGCCATTCATCGCTTGCGACGGGTGCAACGCCCCATTCACCTGCGTCGCTCGTCCCGCCACGTAATTCCCTTCTTTCTCTCTTTCTCCTGTTTTTCTTTAAATAGAGACGATTGCGCAATCGAACAAAGAAGAAGGAAACATGCAAAACAGCTTGCTGAAACGGGAATTCCCGTGGGGGAGTCTGATCCAGCGGGGACTACAATAATTCCGTCACTTGACCCGTTGCCCGACACTTCACCGAGTCACCTGTAACTTTGTAATATGGTCGACTGGACTG